CAGTTAAGGACAGAGATGTTACTGCTCCACAGGTTAAATCCTAAAGGTGTGGGGCAGTAATTAGCTGTCCAGGAGTCTGAGTGCACAAACTCGAAGCAGGCATAGCTGAATAAAATCTAGAGTAGCACATCCTGTACTTAAAATTAAGGGTACACTTAATCTGTTCACTGAAATGAGGTCAGACATTCGTCACTTTCCAGGGTTGAGCTCTAAACTAACATAAGCTGTTTCATCTCTCCCCTGACACTTCAGTCTCTTACTAATTTATCAGCATCCTAAAGCTGTGTGTGAAGTTGCTGAAGAGCAGAAGTGTTTCAGATACAAATAGCAATTGTTAGCCTCTTCCCTCTGGTAAATGGCAGCAGGCAGAAACCTCTCTCAACCTGCCAAGAACCAAATGTGGGACACAAGGAAGAATTATTGGTGCATGAAGCTTAAAGAGATAGGGGACTTATTCCTGTACTGCAAATAACATGTTCGGTAATTTCTCTTTCCTGAGTCTGTATTTCTGATGGAAACAGTTCACAACAACGAGCATGGGAAAACAGAGGGGATGTGTGTGAGATCAATTTGGATCTAATGGAAGGGATAAATGAAAGGTACAGGGGTTAGGGGAAAGGTAGAAAATCCCAGGAGGCAGAGAAATGTTCACAGCAAGCGATGGAGAGTCAGAGCACCTGCATCCTGTCTGCCTGCTTATAGCAGGGATCTGGGGCTGCACAGCCCCCCTTGCATGAAACAGACCTTGCAATATAATTTTGTGCAAAATCTATCACTCTGAGCTCTCCCACTGTATAAAAATTACATTTTAAGTGGCTAAGTAGACATCCAGCTCTATTCTTTTCTTCTTATTTCAAGAAACAATGGGAGTAACAGCACTTGCCTGCCTTACTAGAGTGCTGAGAGCTTTAATTAATGTCTCTAATTCAATTTGAACTCCTTGGATAAAAGGCACTGCCTTGTGACAGCAAAGGTATTGCCGAAAATAGAATATAATTAACACACAGATATCAATCACAAAGAAATTAAGTGTACATTCAAATACAACTTGCACTTTACAGAAAATACTTGCCTATTTTTCCTCCAATAATCCTGAAGACTCATAAGATAAGGAACATTTAATGTTCCAGGCTGAATTGGTATTAGAAAAAGGGCATCTTAAGCCACCTAACAAACTCCAAGGGGCTTTAAGAGGGATCTCCATGTGCACTGGGGGATGTGTCTCCATGCTGGATGGTGCTGGAAAATGACTGTACCATGACTCAGAGTCAGCACATCCAACATTTTCTTCTCCCACTGCTTGTTTGCTGTGAACTGGAGCCGTGTCCTGGCTCACCCACGGATCATGTTTATTAACAGATGTGATGATTGCATGCTCGTGTTTGTTGACATGAGCCAGAAGGACCCAGCTCACTCGCTGCTCCGCTGTGCTTCTCAGTGGAAATGGGCTTTATAACTGGATTTTAGCTGCTGCATTGCGAAACTGGCTAAAATGGTTCATTCCTGTAGGACAGAAACACCTCAGGAGTCACAGTGGGCAGCAGGTTTGTGTTTTTGGGGATGCTACAGCCCGATTCTGGCCTCTCCAACAAGTCCATGGTCTAAATAGTCACACAAATACCATTGTGACTCCATGTTGATAATTGGGAAGTGAGGCCAAGACCCCACACATAAGGGCACTGCCCAAGGTCATAGGGAGAGTTTGGGGCAGAGTTGAGCAAAACACTGGATTCTTGGATCAAAACTCAGTGTCTGGCTCCCCCAAGCCTTCTCTTTTGTCCACAGATTGCTTCTGTGCCAGATTTAGCTGTTAATTAGCCTTGGGTCTCCCACCCAAGGGCTCAGGACTTGGAGGCATCCCCTCCCTGCTTCTTCCCTGGCTCCTTCTGCCAAATCCACAGAACCTACTTCACATCAGTGGAGCCCCATAAAGACACCTGAAAAATTAATTTCAGATTCAAGCTTGTTAGGAGGTAGATTGAATGCACCTCACAATATTGTCTTAGACACAAGATAATCCCACTTTAGTAAGCTTTATAGCTTCCATGGGGACCAGCCCTGTGGAATGGATTAATCTTTAATGTGAAACAACATCTCTACAGCAGCTACAGGGGGGAAAAAGATACTACTAAAAAATTAAAGTTGATGGTGTAATAGTAGTCTGGACCCAGTTGTGCTCCACCATCCTCCATTGCCTCAGGCACCATTCCCTGCTCTCAGAACTGATCCAGGCAGCTTCCAGGCTGGAGATTTGATCATTTCTTCAGTGGTCTCAAGGTGTATTCTCCCCATATCTTACGTCCTGGATAGGAACATCACAGCCCCAACCATCCTGACTCCAATTGTGCCTCAAAGGAAAGGAAGAGAGGATGGAGAGCTGTGTGTGGGGAATTAGGGACAATCTCTTTCACAAGCTGCTATTTCCCCAATGTGTGATATTCACATGTAGGATACACTGGGGTTTCTCTGAGGCCCATTTTGTTTGGCCCTTCTCATATTTCAGTTCTTACTTGCACTGTGCTGGAAACTGGAGGGGCCTCTCCCTGCCTGGGTACATCAGAGCTCCCCTCCTCTCTTTGCACTAGAAATCCAACAGACAGTGAAATATTTAAGGGGAAACTGATCCAGCCTGGCAGATGAGGAGAATAGCTGAGTGTAATGATCAGACAACCAAGGAAGCTGGGACAACTTGGACAGAGCAGCTGATTGTTACCTGCTCACCCAGCTCATGGCAAATGCTGAGTTTGCAGCTGCTCACCTTGAAGGGACAACAGCCTGGGTGGAGAAGCAGTAGAAATACACTTCTGAGCTGGAATTTGGAGAACCTGAGGGTGGGATGTAGCTGGGAGCATTCCCCAGTGATCGCCTTGGGCTCATGAGTGAGTGGAAGCAGAGATGTTCTGCTGCCCTCTCTTGCCCTACAAAACTCCCATTTTGAGCTGGTCCTTGTGTGATGTGAGGGACTAAGCCCTGAGAACTCCTGTGTAACAGGAGCCAGTGGTGAAAGCTGATGTTAAAAACATGTCTCCAGAAAAAGAACAACCTGCTCAGTCAGGAGCTGCAGGTACCATGTTTAATAACAGTAATATTCCATCTGCAATTAGAAAGATGTTATGTGGGACCAACAGAAAAATCAAACATTGACTGACTTTCCCATATTTGATTATTTCCTCCCCATTTCTTCCTGTAATGCAACAGCTGAGTGTCATCTTTAACCAGACTTACACAACTCGGTTCTGTGGAGTGCTGCAGCTCCTGGAACATGTGCTGTGCACACGTGCAGGCTCCCACACACTCTGGCACACTGAGAGGGCTCCTGAGCTCCCCAGCACATCCAGGGCTCCAGCCCACCTGCACAGCAGCCTCACACACTCACTGCCATGGGATCAGCCCTGCCACTCTCCAGGGGAGGCTCCTGGAGCAGAGGAGATGTCTTTGTACATCTCCAGACAACCTTCTGGTTTTGAGCCTGAGTCCTCTGTGAGCACTCTAAAAGTTTGTAATTGCCAGAAAGAAAAGATTTTGCTGAGTGTAGGGAGGTGTGCTGGAGGTGTGCCACATTCCCAGTGCTGTGTGTGAGCCTTGGCTGGTGTGAGCAGCAGAGCACAGAGCAGAGACCATCGCTGCTGGTGGCCAGCATGAAATCTCACTGTGGCAGAGCTCTGAGCAGCCTCATTTCTCCTGCATTAAAAAGTATCTGTGCACTGTACTTTGCAGAAACAGATGGGTATCACCTGTCCTGAGGACAGTTTGTGCTCCCAGAGTTGGGGGAGCAGCCTTAAGGTCACAGCCAGCCCACAGTGTTGGCATTCCCTCCACAAAGCCCAGAAGGCTGGAGGAGGAACCAGTTGTGAGCGTGGAGAGGGCTTTTTCCAAGCAAATCCCTGGTGTGAGGAGCACAACCCAACAGGCTGAGCTGTTGCAGCAGCCACCTTGTGCTGTGGGAGCAGGAGGGACCATCCTGGGCGTGGGGTGACAGCTCAGCAGGCCCCTCACCTGTCACCTGGGGCACAGTGCCAGCAGCCTGATGGCTGAGGAGCTGGGGATGGGAGTCAGGAGAGCAGGGCTCCCTTCCAGCTGTATCCATGGCTTGCTGTGTAACCTTTGGCAAGGCACCTTACCCCCTGATTACCTTCCCACTCATCATATGTCCTGTCACATGCCTGGGAGAGGAGCTGGCTCTGCACAGGGCTGTCCCCAGCCTGGCTCTGCTGCTCTCCTTCGCTGGATATGCATGTTCAGAGTGTCACCCTGCAGAGCCTCGAGATCCCAGCATCACTGAAATAACAAGAGACCCCATCCCCTGCACCACACACACCTCCCCAACACCCCGGCAGGAAAGCAGGGTGAGGATGTTTTTATCTGTCAGAATTTGGCAGGATTTCACAGCTGTGTGTGTCTCTGTGTGTGTGTGTGTGTGTGCCTGCGTGTCCGTGTGTGCTCGTCGCCAAAGCCTGGGTAATTATTTTGTTTTATTTCTTTTTTTGGCAGCACTTGAAAGTAAGAGCTGGGTCTTTATAGATTGCTCAGGTTGCACAGAGTATGGATTACAGATCATCAGAGAGACATGAAAGCAGGAGACACGTTTCTCTGGCACAGCATTAAAGGGACAATAAAGGGGTAGTTGTAGCCTGGGGTGCAGCCACCTCCTGTGCCCGGCCTTCACTCGCCTTTGCAGCACTCTGGAGAACTTCACGAGGGAAATGATGGAGAAGCTGGGGTGAGGATGTCTCAGGTCAGGACCTGGTTATTTCAAAGGTGATATATGCTCAGGAGGTTAAAAGCACCACTTAAATACATGAATAAAACACTGCCAAATGCTCTAAGCTGTAACACAGGCAAACCGAAGTATTTTAAAACTTGATTTTTCACATCTGTTTTCACCCTGAGAGAAAGTTGTCAAAGGATCAGAGCATTTTTAATCTCTCTCTTTCTCTCTCTCCTCCCCTCCATTTCTCTTTCTCTCTCCCCTTCCTCCTGTCCCCTCTCTCTTCCAACAGGACTCCACAGAATGGAGCAAGAATGAGAGGAAAAAGGCAGACAGAAAAGCATGAACTGGAGGCTTGTTGAGTTCCTCTACCTCCTGTTTATATGGGACCATATACTCATACAGCCCTCCCACCAGGACCCAGCTGCTACCAACCAACATGTCTCCAAGGAGTTTGATTGGCTTATTTCAGACAGGGGGCCTTTCCACCACTCACGGAGCTACTTATCCTTTGTGGAAAGACATCGTCAAGGATTTACAACCAGATATAAAATATACAGGTATGTTGGCTTCCAGAGGCTCAGGGGGGATTTTAGGTGGTGGGAGCTCGTTCCCACGGGCTCCAGGCTGGGAGTGGATGGGAGATGCACCATTGTCCCTACTCCACCTGGAAATGCTGCTTTGGTTCCCCGTGGCCCTCAGCTGGCAATGCAAATCGCTTCAAAGGCTGGCGTGGGGTGCTCTGGTAGTGAGATGAAGGCGCTGCGGTGTCATGGCAATGTGCACAGCGCAGAGTGAGATGAAAAGGAGCTGGGGGGGTGGGTGTTCTTCACTCGTGGTGACAGACAGTTCACAGGCAGGTTCCCAAGCAGCTTTTTCAAATCAATGGAGCTCTGGACAGCCCAAGCCTCTGTACCAAACTCGTACATGTGAACTGCCAATAGCTGCAGGTTCACATAAAGATGTCACCACGCACATCACAGTGACAGCTCTCACACTGCTGTGTAGGAGCCTTGGCTGTGTGCTGCCTACCACACATCCTTGAGGATTTATCTCCATGTATAAGTTGGACTTGGCCCCAGAACTGCGATCTTGGTTTAAAAAACTGCAGAGAGTTTAAAACACCTACGGACAATAGGCAGAATTTGGATTTCATTTTGCCTTCTAGGTTTTTAATCCTTAGTTGTTGCTTATTTCAATCTCTTCTTGTCAGCTGTGCTAGCTAGAACAACACTTTTTCCTCTTCATTTTAATCTGAAAAGCTGGGGTGCTCACATGAACATCCTATTAAAGCAGCAAGCACTTTGGAGTGAACGGGAATAAGCCAGCAAGTGTCAGGAGATTGGTGCTGAAACCCAAAGAGACTGAAAAACTCTCCCAGCCATGTGTGCATTTACATAATTATATGGTCCTGTTGTGCTTCAGAGAGACACTTGCACACACAGCCATGCAAAGTGGTGGGCAGGGAAATGCTGGGGAACAGTCCATGGCACTGGGCTTGTGGAGACATGGATGTGGGGATGGGGGAGCAGGGAGTGACAGAGAGTCACAGGGAGTGACGGGGAGTCATAGGGAGTCACAGGGAGTCACAGGGAATCACCTGTGTGCAGGGAGTGCTGTCCCGTGGGCACGGAGCCAGAGGCAGAGTAACAGAGATGTGTGAGGCATCAGCTCTGAGTGGGGAAGAAAAATGAGTTGTTCTTGTCCTGTGGCCTCCAGGGAGAGCAGAACCCCCTCCCCTTGCAGCAGCAAAGGCAGGTTAAAAATATTGTCCTGACTTGTCCCCTCCAAAACAGCTCAGGGGGAAGACAGCCCAAAAAAGTAAAAACTGTTCTGCCTTGCTTCCACTGGTGAGGTCTCACTGCCTGTGCACACAGCAGCAGAGGAGATGCCTTTTCCCAAAAGCCTTTTTCCCTGGCTGTGCTCTGCCCAGCTCCCCTGCTGCCCTGCCTGCCAAGGCACACAGTGACCCAGCCTGCAGATCCCTGCCCTGCTCCTGCCTCTGGCACCGGCTCTGCCCTTTGCTAAAGAGCTGTGCAGCCCAGGCTGCCACCACAGAGTCTGCAGGGGCTGGGGGGAGAGAGCCACACAATGGATGTGTTCAGACATAGCTACGAACTGTCACGGTGGGTCAGGCCACAGATCCATCAAGCCTGGGATCCTGTCTCTAAGCATCACGGAGAAACGGGTCTGGAAGGACCTTGAGAGGTCATTTACTCCGTGCCTCTTCCCCAAGGCACGCTCAGACATACCTGTGTCACGTCTGACAGAGGTTTGTGGGGAGCCTGCAAGGTCTCCTGTGATGGAGGATTCACACCCTGAGCAGGCAGCCTGTGCCACGGCTTTACCTCCTCCACTTTTATAAAGGAGCCAAAACCTGGTTTGCATGTGATGCCTGTGATTTTTTGTTTTACCTGTCAGGGGGAAAGGAATAAATTCCCTTTTGGTTTGTAGGGAGCTAATATGGATTTGTAGTCTTACCTCAGTTCAGGATGAACTTTATGTATGGGAAGTGGAAAGATTTCCTCTGTTTCTGCTGAGTATTGCATTTATGAAAGACACATGGAGAAGGTGGAGAGCACAACACCCTCCTTCCAGCATGGGAGAAAACAGGCATCAGCATTCTGTGTGCATGGGAGGTGTTCTCATGGCATCTCATGGCCAAACAGCACCCACTGAGCTGAAGGAGGGAGTGAGTGCTTGGGGAATGCCAGTCATGTGTGTGGTGGTTGCAGTGCTGGGAGCTGAGCACTTTGGAAAGACAGATCTGGGACAAACCTGCTCCCACCGTGGTCAGCTGAGGAGGAGGGGAAAGCCTCATGTGCCTCAGTAGGGCTGATGGAACCATCAGGTGGGAGTCTGGCTGGGAGCTGGAGGGCTGTTTGTTTTTAATGTCTGGCCCTGTTGGCAGAATTGGTCACTTAAAAACTGAGCCCATGCATTTTTGAAGGGATATCAGACTCAGTCTGGCCATGGAGAATTAGTGGAGCCACAGCCAATTCTCACAGTTAAGAGCTAAACTGTGCCCACACTCCCCCAGAACATTCAGTTTTACTGAAACCCACAGGGGTAAAATCTCATTTTGTGGGCTCCTTAAATTGACTTCGAGAATCTGTAAAGCTGTTGAGATTTTGTCAACTGTTTAATTCCAGCATAGAAGCCTCTTTCCTACCAAAAGATGCCTCTCAATTGCTCTTTGCACTGCAGTAGCCCAAGGGAGGCACATATCCTGCATTAAGGATATCACTCCTTTCCTTAGAAAAGCAGCTGATATGGAGCATGGGAATTTTCTGTGCAATCTTCTCCCTCAATGCCCCTTTCCTCCCATACTTTTTTAGGTTGGCTGGTTTTTAGTTTGTTGCTCTGTCAGGCAGTTCCTTGGGGCACTTGTGATTTTGCTGAGTGAAGTTTGGCCTGAGCCCTGCTCTTCTCCCAAGGCCGATGGCAGCAGATCTCAAACCAGCCACAGCAACCCAGGGTTTGGAGATGATGTGAAATCAGTCCAGAGGACTTCACCCATCCCTAATTGAAACACTGTTGGCCATTTAATGGTGATTTCCCTGGTGCCCTGCTGTGTGGGAGCACGGACACATCGCATTAGGATTGTGTCATTTACACTGGAAAACCACCAAGGCAAAGACACTGCTGGTGCTAAGAGCAGCACAGGGCAAAATGCAGAATTTTCTCCTTTTTGCAGGTGATGCTGAAAAGGAAGCAACATAAAATCATGGAGGAGTCCTCATTCCATCACTCCTGAAGTCCAGAGCTTGTCAGCAGCAAGCACAGAGCCTGTTGCAGTGAGCAGGGCTATTTTATATTCTGCATAAGCAGGATTGCTGTAGAACCTCAGAGCTGATATTATCTTTCACGGGAAGCCTGGATCCAAGTCTAGCATCCTAGCATGGAAAGCCAGTTCACTGTTACAGCCTCTGAAGGCTTGTTCCCTCCTTTCATGCATTTCATTTCCCTGGATTTTAGGTCTCTTTCTTGTAAAACTTGGATCACTGATTTTCCTGGTACCCTCAGTCAAGGCTCACACCTTGCATGTGGCATTAGGAGGAAGGCAAGCAAAGGGGGAGATGTTATATATTAAATCATGAACAGAAAGAGTGGATACAATTGCATTAGGGAAGCACATTAGTCAGCATTGATTCATACTAATAAGGGTGCTTTAGGGGGGCCTCTGGCAGGAAAATGCTGCTTTGATCATTATCTGTGCACACTGGTAGTAATGCAGATAGGATGGCAGATGCTGAGAGTGGTTTGTGGGATGTCTGAATATTCATTATCACCCTCCTTGTTGTTATTCCTAGTCATGAGAGCCTTGGGTACGAGGTACTGCAGGAAGGCTGGAAAACAGATGAAGCTCAGCTTGGCTTTGGGACTGGGGTCCTGCTCAGACCAGAAAACATCCCCGTTACCACTGAACAGTTAGCAGCTTCAGCCCACTGCTTTGAAGTATGTTGTCATGTTGTCCTTTTTTTTCCCTTCTCTCAGAAGTTATTTAGCTACAAGGCAAAGCAAAAAGTGGGCTGAGCACTGGAATGCTCCATGCAAATTGCCAGGCAGAGGCACTGACAGAGGAATTTCCCTGATGATGCTGCTCAGCTGAAGCAAGTTCTAGAAAAAGCAACAAGAGAAAAACCCAACAAAAAACCCACACCCAAAAACAACAACAAAAAAAGAACAAAACCAAAAAAATTTCCTAAAAAAAACAAAACAAGAGGCTTTTTGTGCAGTGTCAGAGGTGGGAGGCAAAGAGGGGCAAGGTGAGATGGGCTCATCCAGCTGAGCAGAGAGGCTGCCACTGCCAGCTCTATGGAAAACAGGGACAGGACACAGTGCCTTGGAAAGAGGAGCCCACAGGTAGAGAGGCAGAGGGTTGACACAGGCAGGATCTGGATTTTTTTGCTCTGGGCTCGTGGTGTGGCTGTGGGTGAGCTCATTTCTGCATGCCTCAATTCCCTCCCCACCCCCTGAGAAGGGGAGATGAGGAGATGACAGCACTTGCCTGCTCTGCATTGCTGGGCAGACTTAATTAAAAGCTGCAAGATGTTTGGACATAAGGGACAACAGCAATATAAAATGGATGATCACACGGGGCTGCAAGTGGAATGTGCATGTGCAAGAAGAAGTGAGTATTTTCCATGCGTGGGAGTTTGTCATTTCAGAAAATGGAATTAGTGGGGACAGGGAAATCTGGCTCTCTGTATAAGAGAGCAGGGAAACCCTGGGGTATAAAAAGGAGATCTGCCTTGTAACTTCTCCTGCAGTGGGACCAGTTAGAGGCTGCCTAATTTCATGAAACCTGCAAATAGAGAATCCTTCTGAGACCTCTGTCAGGTCTGCTTAAAATTCACCAGCAGATTCAAAACTTAGTGAGGGAGGTGACAGCAAAGCAGCCAGTCCTGCCCCATCCCTCTGCAGAGTGACAGGACAGAGCCAGCCATAAACTCAGTACAGACAGATAAAAAGGAAAAGGAGCTTCTGAGACAGGAAAGGTTGGGAGTAACTGGCTGCACAAGCTGGGCGGAAATTGGTTGGGATACTGCCTAAGGAA